TAGAAGAGGAGGAGATTGGATTTATACCCTGCCCTTCACTACCCAAAGGAGTCTCAGAGCGGTTTACCAACTCCTTTCCCCTCCCCTTCCCTCCCCACCCCACCCCACAACAGACACCCTGTAAGGTACGTGGGGCTGAGAGAGCTCTGATAGAAACTGCTCTTTTTTCAAGAACAGCTGTGCCAGAACTATGGCTTGCCCAAGGTCATCCAGCAGGTGCAAGTGGAGGAGTGTGGAATCAAATCCGGTCCTCCCAGATTAGAGTTTGTGCACTTAACCACTACACCAAACAAAATACATTTCCATACGATAGACATCAGTTTCCCTGGAGAAAATGGCCTCTTTGGAGGTTGGACTCTGTGGCATTACACCCCACCTTCCCCAGGCGGCATCCCCAAATCTTCAGGAATTTCTCAGCCCAGAACTTGCAACCCTAATAACAGGGTATAACTATTGACACAGCTGATCCCTCCCTTTGTCAGCAACCCAGGAAGTGCTAGTGTGGTGTAGTGATTAAGAGCGGCAGACTCTTAATCTGGAGACTTGGGTTTGATTCCCCACTCCTCCTCCACATGAATCCCTGCTGGGTGACCTTGAGTCAGTCACAGTTTTCTCAGAGCTCTCTCAGCCCCACCTGCCTCACAAGGTTCCTGTTGCAGGTAGAGGAAGGGAAGGTGATTGTAAGCTGCTTTGAGACACCTTAAGGTAGAGAAAGTAAAGGTAAAGATTCCCTTGCTCGATAGCCAGGTATAAAAACCAGGTCTTCTTCTGCCTTTGGAACTTCTTGCTACTTGAAGAAATGGGAAGCATCTAATGATATTGTACAAACGATACTGTGCCTCCCTCCACAGGACAAATCAACTTCTTTCTGGACAGTGGTTACAATCCTAAGGACACTTTCTGGACAGCAAGCCCCATTGACTAACATGGGACTTGCTTCAGAGTAGACCTAAACTGCTCTGTGGAGGTTCAGAGGATTCTACAGAAAAACAATCCTTGCACAGAGAAAGCCAGGACATCAGATAGAATTATCCTTTCCATGCTGCCTTGGCTTTATATTATTCCTTTAAAATGAAATTTGCCATTATGGGAGGTACAATACAAAGATATTATCTTGAAAAATGCTATTAGAATGTCATACAAACAAAATGGAGGGTTTTTAAAAACACAACTTCACCTGTTGGATGTTTAGGGAACATCAGTCTAGAGCCCATGTCCTACTGTC